CCATACAAGGACATGGGGTGGATGGATAGAATTAGCAATGGCTCTTGGCCTGGGCTCTAGCTCTTTATTGCTCCTCCATGTCTAGTGGAGTGTGGACAGATTTAATGTGTGCCAGAAACTATACTCTATGTTCACAAAGCAAGTTCTGTATTCATTCTGAAGATGATATTAATGGGTCACGTCTCCGTCCAAGTGCCTGCAGAGCAATAGCCAAAATTAATACTGTGCAGTAAATGTCTGGATTCTTAAAATGCTGTGCTGATAGAATTGACACCATTGGCCCACAATGCAAGGTTAATGGATGGAATTTATAGCTGAGAAGCATGGTTTTGCAAAGGCTTTGACAGTAAATGGGGCAAGTTTATAGAGAAGGGATTTATTAGTCACAAAAACCCTTGCAGGGTGGACTGCCACTGCTCAGGATTACAGCTATCGATTCCCTTCTGCTGATTCCTTCATGTTATCTTCTCTTTGCTGAATCTATGGGCATCAACATCTATATTCAAGGGTGGTGTTGCATCACAAGCCTCAAGTATGCCTCTCCCTGGAGTCAGCCTATCTATCTATCTATCTATCTATCTATCTATCTATCCATCCATCCATCCATCCCTGCATGTGCAATAGCTTCTACAAGCCTGAAACTCCAGTAGCAGTGTTCTAGGGCAAATGTATGGTTGTAAGCATAATGTCCCCACCCCAATGGACATTTACAGTGCAAATATAGACACCAGGGGTGAGATATTTCATTTGTGACGTGTCAAATGAGGAGCTGCTTGGTGTAGCCCCATTCTTTACTTACCTCTTCAGCTTTCTGATAAATAAAGCTCACCAATCGGGCTACTCTCTTCAAGTGATTTTGTGTTTTTGAAAATGTACCTTTTCAGACTTCATGATGCTCTGCCCATACAGTTCCTTTTTTTATTTATTTATTTTGGCTCTCCTGCACCAGCAGCTATCGAACCCCAAGAGAGTCCCCTACTGTTGCTGCTTACCAGTGGGAAGGGATGGGGAAAGAGAACCAGTTCAGATGATAAAAAAGCAGCTGGTCTCAGATCAAAGAGAGTAAGAAATGAGGATATACTTAGAGATGGAGTGCATCCTATTTTTGCTTCCCTTCAAACCCCAGAACAGCCACATCTTCATCATCAGAATTACTTCCACCTCTCTGCCCCCATATATCTGTAAACAGCAACTGTGGGCCCTCCTGGTGCCTTCAAGTAATTTCTGACTTCAAGTGACCGAAGGTAAACCTATCAAAGGGTTTTCTTGGCAAGATTTGTTCAGAGAGGGTTTGCCTTTGCTACCCTCTGAGGCTGAGAGTGTGTGACTGGCAGAAGGTCACCCAGTAGGTTTCCATGGCCAAGCAGGGATTGGAACCCTAATGTCCAGAGTCACAGTCCAACACTTAAACCATTATGCCACACTGACTCTCAGTTTCTTGTACCCCATCCAAAAAGAGAAATATGTATTAATAAGCCATAATTTTGTGGGCATCAGTAACTAAGAAGATGCTGGCATGACCAAAGCATCCAAAAAAGTAACTTGTCCAGGATTTGACCCTAATATTATAAAATAAGGAGGAAAATGTCTATCATCTTTTTCACCAATGTGCATCATTTTATAAACCTCTGTTTGGTCTTTCCCTTGTTAACATATTTTTTTAAAAAATAGCCCAGGTGTTCCACACACTTTCACCATTCCTGATGGGGAAAGTGCTCTAGCCTCCTTTTCATTTATGGTTGATCTTTTCAGTCTGTGAAAACAGTAATTTGATCACAAGATTGGTGCATGCAGATCTGTGCATCAGACATAGGTGTGCATGAGGTGGTAAAGAGATAGTGGAACTTCCTACTGCCTTTACTTCTAGTGGCAAACCTGTTGCAGTTGTGTGCCTTCAAGCCGTTTCCAACTTATAGTGACCCTAAAGTGAACCTTTTGTGGGCTTTTCTTGGCAGGTTTCTTTAGAGGGGCTTTTACCATCCTCTGAGGCTGAGAGTATGTGACTTGCCCAAGGTCATCCAGTGGGCTTCCATGGCCCTGGGTCCTCTTAATGTGTAAAAAAAGTCACCACAGAGCAAATTTAGGGTTGGCAAAAGACATTTTGCTGGCTAAGACAAAGGACAAAATAGTGTCTTCCCATTTTTATCTGCTTTTAAAATGTCCCAGTTTCTCTCTCCACCTCCCACTTTCCCTCTTTGTCCTCATATTACTTCGATTGGTGCAGACTGAGTTCAAAGTGCAAAAATAGCTTGCACACAATTAAGTGAGCAGGGGGAAAAGAAAAGGAAAGAGTGACTCTTGCCCTTCTCAGTAGGTTCCAGCAAAAGCAAAAGCTTTCTCGTGAATAAATTTTGCCATCTCGATCGCAATCTGAGGCTACTTGGCCACAAGTGTCCCAGTTTTCATCTGTGAAATGTTGGAAGGTAAATTCTCCAAAATGTCAGCATTGGCAAATTTGTCTACCTTGGTGCCCCTCTGATGAGGTGTGAAAGCAGCAAAAGAAATCAGGTTCATGTCCCAACTTCTTGGTGAAATCCTGCCGAGGATAATCCCAGCGTCTGGTTTTCAGTCATGCTTAATACAAAGGGGCATACATATCTGAAGGAAGGGAAGTCTTCAGAAATGTATGCTGGAATTAATTCCGGGTGGTCTTTTATCCACAAGTCACACACACACACACCCTTTCTCCCCCTGCCCTGAAAAAATCCCTTTGGTTTTGCCCAGTTGTTATTTTCCCTGCAATAAAAGATTAATTATCGAACCCAAAAGCAGAGCCTCAGCACTGCAGGTGAAGGAAGGGGGGGAAAGAAAAAGAAAAGGGCAAACTTTGGCAACCTTTTGAGTGTAAAATTCAGACCTGGAGGAGAAGCCAACTTTCACTGCTGTCTAATAAAATGAAATAAGAGTGAAAAGTTCAAATATTAGACTTTCCTGTGGAGCTGGTTTCATGGGGGAGGGAGGCAAAGGCCAATATAAACAGTGGCCTAGTGGCAAGTTCATGTTTCTGTCTCGTCTGTGGCGAACCCTTCTGAGGGCATTGGCTTGGAGGAAGAAAACCTCCTTTGCAAAGGGGAGGAGGGCGGGGAATAACATGTACAACTAACACGCCTGTATATAGGACATTTGGTTTGGTGACCTAAAAGTGAGAGAAATTTTCCCCACCTCACTTGATGTTGTGGCCACAGGGTACACTGGAAACATTTATATCTTCTGTGGCCAAAGAAGGAAGAGGGGAAGGAGGAGAGGAGAGGATATGCCTTGGGGAAGGTGGCTTTCTTGGACCTTCCTTGGGCTTTTCAGGAGGTGGAGAGTCTGTCTTGGGTCTTCCATAACATATGCTGGGTCTGCTCCCTTCTCCTTTCTTTAACCAGACCCAGCCAAAGATAGCCAAATGGCCACTGACTGGTCCAATCAACCATCCATCTGCCCTCTGTTTTCCAAAAGGACCTTCTTGGTAACTTTCCTCCTCAGGCTATAGGACTCTTTCCCTCCCTTGGGCTCATCTCTTCTCTCTTTCCACCAGCAAGCAAAGACCTTTGGATTTGGGTGATTTACTGGTCATTGCAGAAAAGTCTCTTAATGGTGGTGCTGGATTTTTACCCTGACTGCTGCATTTTGAACTGTTTTAAATTACAGCTGTTCTTAATATGATAGGTCATTTCCTTGATTTTCTTAAACTTATTTTGTATTCTCATCATTGGCCAAGATTCTACATCATGATGTATCTTTTGTAACTTTACGAATTCATAACTATAATTACTATAATCGCAGCACAAATACAATTAAATCCTGTTAGTGAATTGCTAAGATGCACATCTGTGCACTGTCCAAGAGTGTTCCAATGCACACCACGTGCTTCCAATGCTCATTGGGCACTTGTGATGCACATTGAGCACTTCTAATCCACATTGGGGACTTGTGATGTATATCAGACATTTCTCATGATCATCAAACACTTGTGATGCACATTGTCACTTGTGATGTGCAGTGTGCACTATTGACATGCATTGGATGCTGAGTGGGCACTTGTGATGCACACTGGACACTTCTATTGTACAACAGACACTTCTATTATACATTGGACGTTTTAAATAAAATCAGACATGTCTCATAGTCATTGGGCACTTATGGTGTGCATTGGGCACTTGTGATGCATACTGGGAACTTCTGGAACTAGTGTCTGGATGCACATTGGGAGGGCCTTAATGTGCATTGCTGTCTATTGCACATCAGGGCCATGGCATATCAGTCACTCCACTACCTACCATTGCACAAGCTGTGATGTCATGGCAGCCCCAAGGTAATACAGGCATTGCAAAACTTCTCAGTTCTATTTCCTGCACATGAAAGTCCACCTATAAAAACATACATCCCATGCTGAATTCCCGCCATTTTTGTTTTAGCTGTACTTTGTTGTAACCAATGTTGTGAGCCTCTTTGCATCCATGTCAGAAGAAAATTGGGATAAATAATTTATTTCAGACCTTTCTCCCAAACAGGACTTAAAATGGCTTACAATCTAAGTTTAAACAAAATATGTAAAATTATATGTAGTACAAAGCTTCAAATAGTATTAAACCATTCATTCAATTAAATAATGCCAAGACCCATGCAGGCAGCATACCAATATTGCATCCTCTCTCCAAGTTCAAGAATTAAGACAGAGGCCTGGCAGCCAGGAGGAGAAGGAGAAAGCAGGTGAGAGAGAGAGAGCAGCAGCGCTGGCCTCAAAAACCGCCCATCCTCCAGCACTTCTTTCCCAGTGACCAGGAGGAGGAGGAGGAAGCAGGTGAGAGAGAGAGCAGCGGTGGCAGCCTTAAAAACCACTCGCCCTCCAGTGCTTCTTTCCTGGTGGCCAGGAGGAGGAGGAGGAAGAAGCAGGAGAGAGAGAGCAGAGGCGGCAGCCTCAAAAAAACCCTGTCCGCCCAGGCTGCAGCAGCAATAGTAACAATAACAGAAAGAGGGGAGGAGAAGGGGTAAAAGAGAGGAGAGTGGTTAAAAAGTGACCCTTATTACCATCCCCTCAGTGACTGAAGATACTCATAGAATCATAGAATCATAGAGTTGGAAGAGACCACAAGGG